CTTTGATAACAATTTTAAAGCATTTAACTATACATTCTCCTTTTGATATGTTAGCAGTATTTAGAAACACATCCTGTTGCTAAAAATTAAATTTCAAAGTCTACAATTGTATTTCCTGCTTCCTTTTAAAGGGGAAGATGCTGGTTTATTTAAAACACATGCAACATGTTGGGGACACACACACACACACACACACACACACACACACATCCCGCCTTCAACCTTTCACTGCCAAATATTTAGAAGTAAATTTTTACTGTGTTCTCTGAACATATAATTACTGCTTTGAGGCTAGTTAATGAAAATATATTTTTCTTTGAAACATGTTGGCTCTACTAAATGAGTCTGTCCTTGTGAGTCCATAGATGAATCGATTGTGTGCCTCCTTGAAAAAAAGAAGCATTCTGATCATTGTTGCCAGATGTCTCAAAAAAGCCTGCCAAGCTGGGGCTAGAAACACAGACTTAAAATAGTAGGCACGTAATTGAACCACCAACCAATTAAAGTCTGTGGAGCAAATTAACTCTTGCTCACATTGGCCGAAGGAGCTGGAACTTTTGTATAGCTAACCTAGGAACATTCCTTTAAGCTTCTCCTTCTTCAGTCAGTTATTGCTGGCATCTGAAATGACCATAAAAAGGGTCATCTCTCTTTTTAAAAAAAACTGCCTGCCTCAAACATCTCCACTGACTTTCAAGGAGCACCCCTATGGCCATCCCTGGAGACCAGGCCATTGTCAAGTCAAAATAACTCCTGCGGTTGGAATAGTTCCAAGTGGCAAAGCCTTTAAAGAGAATAACTTGCTCTCAGGTAGGCGAGTCCTTTCATGCTGGCCCTCTTGAGTCTCAAGAGAAGGAACGCTAAGGGATGGAACACACAATACCATCTTCTTCTCTGTCTCAAGGCAGACATTCCTTCACCTTGATTTGATGTTAAGACACTTTTGAACAAAAACCAGAAGGCAAGTGAGAACCCTGAAGGTGAGTTCATCTGTAAGGAGCAAAGAGCATCATAGCAGGAAGTCCCGCCTAGTGAGGTTGGCTCTCAGCAGCACCTGTCCATAGGCAGCCAGGACCACTTGATTCATTGCTTGATGGTACAGCCAGGATCAACATGAGAACCAGGAATTAAGAAATTACTATTGACAACAAGGAGTAAAATGTAGTAACAGTTCCCCAAAAGCCTTAAAAAAATCCTTATTTTATGATCTGGAAATTCTACCTCTGAAAATTTACCCCAAGAAAATACTCATGTATTTGCATAAAGATTTATCCCTACACACACTCATCACAGTATTTGTTAAGGGAGAAATTTAAACATAACATAAATGCAATTGAACCCAATTCAGGAATGAAAAATATGGAAGAATAGCACAGAAAAAATGTATAGATGTTTAATAAAAAGAAAGGTGAATACATATAATGATCCTATCTTATAAAAATATATACATAGGCTAGAAGTATAAGATTACACAAATATTTTAGAAGCTTCTGTTTCCTTCACTGGACTTTTCTAAATTTCCATAATGAGTGTATATTGCTGTTGTTGTCAGAAACAAAATTTAAATTTTTTCTTAAAAAAGAAAGCATGACAAGCCAAGTGTGTGGTCATACCTATTAATCTCAGCACTCTAAGAGGCTGAGGCATGAGGATTATAAATTTGAGCCAGGCCTGGGCAACTTGTCAACTTAGCAAAATCCTATACCCTCAACAAAATGTTTTTGAGATGGGGTCTTGTTATGTAGTCCAAGCTGGCCTTAAACTCTAGGTGATCTCCTTCCTCAGCCTTCCAAGTGCTGAGACTACAAGTGTGTGCCACCATACCCAGCCCCCCGCCCTTTTTTTTTAAAGGATGTGCTGTAGCTTAGTGCAGAGACCCTGGGTCAGTCTCCCAAGTCCGGGAGAAAAGGCATAGCCAAACAAAGTAATGTGTAACCAATGTCTTGCATCTATCCGAGATCAAGACAAGAAGGATATGTAACTAAATTACAACATCTACTGAATCAGTGATGTCTGCTAACACCAGAGGACCAGACTGACTGTATATCAAATCATGAATTGCATGTGTTCCAGAAAAGTATTCTACAGGCAATCCTCTAAATCGCATTAGGTGCTGATGAGAGGTGGCTCCTGTTCTACAGGGTTCGCAGCCTAAGAAATGCACTGACAGTTTTGCTGAAGCATTGTCACTCAACTCTTGGAGCAGGCAAAGATACTGTCCTTGGAACTGTCATGTCAGCTCCTTAGAGTCCCCATTAGTAGCCCTTGCATTACGGGAAGTGAACTCACATAAAGCCCCAGATCTGCTGAGACATGACACTTGGCCTTATCCCAGACTCTGAAGAGGAAAACCTTGTGGTCCAACAATGAAAAATAACAAATAACAAAGCTCCAAGTTCCAGTAAAATCCCCGATAAGATCTTTAAGCAGAATGTCTGGGGTGTGCTAAATTATCTTTATGGGTTCTTCTAAATACAAATGTGAAAATTTCAAAGCCTCTACCCTTAGGAATCAAAAAAGTATAGATAGTGTCAATTTGGGAAAATATTTTTTAAAAAACTTTTGTGGAATAATTTTTTTAGTATCCACTACTAATTTTTATAGTAGTAGGAATATAGCTTGATAGATTCTACCTCAAATGAGTTAGAATAGGACCCAAAGGCCATGGCTATGGAATCAGGGCCAGTGTTTAGTGTTTAAGGGTCAGTCATGGGTGGGGGGGGCAGAAATGGAGGTAGGAGCTGTAGAGGAGGGTATTTGGGGTTTGAGTTTCAGCATCCATCCCTCCCTCCATGATAACTCCCATCTCCTCCTCATCCCCATTGTCACTCTATATGGGTTAGAGGGAATTAATTGTGCCCAATGCTGCAACACTAGCCAATCAGAGCATTACATTCCCCTGTAAATGTTTGGTTCTGGAATGATCACTGACCCACATCAGGGCAAATTAGAAGCATTCCAAAACTCTTACTTGAGCAGCAAAATAATCTCGATCTTTTCTGACTAATCTGAATCTAAATGCACCAGGACTGGCATTTCTACAGCCACTTTTCCACATCTAAGTGTCGATCACAAGGCCAACTTGTAGAAATGATATGCTAGAAAGCCAGGGGGACTTGGGTTTTGGTGGCATGGGCTGAACCTGCACCAGAAACCACCACTACCCCTGAACTTTCAGCACATGGGTCAGTAAGACTTCTTTCTCTTCAAAGAGTAGGCAGCTAGAGAGAGAAGCTGGGAAAGAAGGAAGGCACAGATTGCTTCGTGGATAGGACGGGAGAATAGAGGGAAAGAAAAAAGTCTTCCCCTCAGAATCAGAGAACCTGACCTATGGTCTGGCCAAAGCCTCAAGGCCAAGGACATTTCCCTCTCCTCACCACGACTCTGCCTGGCCCCTGCTTGTCCACCACTACTGAGTGTGTCTCCAAAAACCCTTGTCTTCTGCAGATTGGAGTCTCCTGGTATTGACTCTCTCCAAGAACAATACTAGTAGGAAGCTGAGGCCGCACGCAGCTGGAAGGAGAGAAGAAATTCCAACTCCCTGTACCTCAAAAGCACTCTACATTCCTGATTCCAACCCCAGCCCACCCACTTTAGGTTTGAACTCAGTCCAAAATATCAAGTGCTTTTTCTTGGAAAGGATTTCTTTAGAAAAATTCTGGGGCCTTCACAACAGCCCCACTGTCCTATGATTTTAGCTTTTCTTCTAGCAGGCAGTCACAGATGCTTGCCCCAAGGCTGGAGCAAATCCTTGTTGTCCAAAGTGAAGTCTCCTTCTTGTTCGTAGCATGGATTCATTTGTTACCCACAGGGCTTAGTTTCCTCCTTTAAGTTATAATGGGCAGGGTAAGGAAATTATGATGAAGACTTCAAAGGAATAATGGCAAAAATCTCACCAATCTCATTTCAACAGTAAAGTTGGTAAATTCCATATTTAATTTATTTGCTTTAATACTCATAGGCATATTTTCTATTTAAAAATAGGCATTTTCATCTTGCATCATTGTTGACTGTGTTTTCTGGATTTTAGTGCACTTGGACTCTTGATCTGGAAAATTGTCAACTTCTGGTCTAACACAATGTCCAGTTAAAGGCATACCCAGAATTAACTGTAAACTGTTCTCCGTGTCATACTGGGAAGCAAAAGCCACCTGGATGCTAATGTTTCATTATTTCTCTGGACAGCAGGAATTTTTTTTTTTTTCAGCAGTTAGGAAGCACTGGGCAAGGCCATCTGGGATGCCCCTCAGGGACATTATTTATTGTCCTATGAGTAAGAGCACAATCTTTAGTGATAGCCAGTCTGGCTTGCACCCTGGGAGTGCTGTTAATTAGATATTCTGTCTTGGACAAGTTATTTAACCTCTTCAGTCCTCTCATCTGTGAAATGGGGATGATAATAGTGCCACATGGGAACACAGTGGCAGCTGAAGCAGAGGGAGAAGGGAGCCTAGGAAATCAGAAAACAGCAGCAAAGCACTGGAAATAGCTCTGGAAGTCTATACTGAAATGCAGGTCTAAGGCATCAAAGGAGGCTGCGTAGAGATCAATTCCCTCCACACAGTCAAGAGGAGTTCACCAGGAGAGCACCTGATTCCCAGCACTGTTCTTCCTTGACTCCTACAGGTCCTGACCTCAACTTGGACACTGCCTTCAGCTCTCATTTTCTGCTCTGCTCAGACATGAGGTCCCTTGCAGCTGAGTTGGTGTCTGTTCTTCTGATGGCTTTTGGGGGATAGGGTAGGAAGTGCAGCTGGGTGGTATGTAGTTGGGGAAATGTTTATGAGAGGTACTATATAGAAGGGGTCTCAAACACCAAACTGCGAGCCTAGAAGGCTCAAAGGTAAATATGCATTCTTTATACCTCTGCTAATGGGAAGCCTTGTTGCAGTCTGAGTTCAGGTCTCCCAAGAAAAACCACAAGCAATGATGAACTCTTTAATAAGGTTCCAGTCACAGGCCAAAGATCAAGTTTCACTGAACCAGAGTGAAGAAACGAGTGACAGTTAAACATCATCTTTATTGGTACGCAGACTGTAATCAGCTCTCCACAAGGTCATCTTGGAACACTAAGGACAGTCCCGACACCTCCTGGCTCTCCTCAGTAATGGACGGAAGCAATGGTGCAGATAATCTGGCCAAATGGCGGATAATTCAAAAGCCATTTCTATTTGGCCTTGGGAGAAGTGTCTGTGTTCAAACTGAGTGTGGGTCTCTGTGAGCCTCATTGCCAGGCTGGCAGTATGGAGAGGTCTGGTCACTGCATGACATCCAGCTGCACTTGAGGGCAGGAGTCTCCTGGCCAGCAGTAGCAGGGGCAGTGGGCACAGCTGGAAACTGACAATGAGGAAGGAGGTTCAGGAAGTGCTACTCCATTTGCCCCTTTTTTAGTCCATTCTCACCCTTCTCAGCCCTGGGTTCAATCCCCAGTATGGTAGAAGTGAGGGCGGGGGTGGGGAGGATAGCATTAACATTTATACAGTGACCCCTGTGTGCTATACATACATTGCATAAATGCTCGCTGAATTTCCATGTCAATGCTATGATCCACAGCTTGCAGGGGGAACCAGAGATACACAGAGGTGGAATGGATTCATCTCAGGCAAGCTGCCCCAGTCATCCCCACCCTTAATTACTCTTTTATTGCCTCTTGAGCACATATAATGCAGGTATGAAAGTAAAAAAAACTTTAAAAATGTGCTTTACTGAACATGCTTGTGTGAGAGTATCAGGCTTCTAGAAGCAAAATAACCTCACTTTTTATTTAAAAAAAATAAAACATGACATTTGATTCATTATGTAGGCATAAAAATGATTAGAATAACATGCTAATATTGCCATTATACTCACATTATGAAATTGAAGCACAGAAGCAAAAATGACTTTTCTACTTATGCGTAATTTTTATCAAATGTCCCTGTTTTTCCAGCCCCTTCTAATTCCTCCCCTCACCCCTTCAGTATAGTAATCATCACAGTGATGATACCTGTGGAATAAAAGGTAAGAAAACAAACACTGCTTCCTTTAAGAGAGAGCAGGACATAATTTTGCAGTTGAAAAAAACATGTTCAAATATTATTTTTACAGCGAAAATAGTTACATCACAATTTTAAATTACATTCCCATTTGAAATAGAGTCAATTTGCACCACCTACTGGAATATACAGCTCTTTATAGTCACAGGTTAAAAGTATAAAGCCGTTTTTAAGACTTTAGAGTTACATTTTTAGTTATCTGTAAGAGGCCAGCCCTTTGACATGTTGGAAATGCAAGATGCTAATTTCTTCAGGGAGCATTTTCTAAAACAAGCTCCCTTTAGGTGCCAAATTTAATCATCTTACTAAATTAACAAATCGTACAAAAATAAAATGATTAAGCCAAATATATCAACCAAAGAGATAAAAATGTAAATTAGAAGCAAAAATGAAATCAATACACATTATCGGTTGCTAAATCACTACTAAAAAAAAAAACAGGATTCAAGCAGACAACTGGAAAATGACAGGAAACATAAGCAAACAGGATAATAAACAGAACATAACACAACATTAATTAGAAAAAGAACTCACCCAATGAAAATTTGATAGTGTTTATATCTAAAGTAATAATCATTGTCATGCCTTAATTACAGCCTAAACATCAACACACAAAGTGTTCGTATTTGAGCATCTCTGACATTTTAAAGGCAACCTCAACAAAATCTTTACTTTTCCTGACAAACTATTCTAAGCAATAAATTTCTGAATAGTAGCAACACTTATTATTGTATATTTGACAGAGATTTGTTAAAAAAATCTACTGTTCTAGACAAAATGATTTTAGAAGCCTAAACATTACACTTTAATTTCTTGAAACCTATTATGCTGTTTCACTTATTTTATGTGTATTTTGTCTGAAAATTGATTTTATTTTTACATGTCAACTAAATTAAATGTCAAGTAAATTAACTGAGGCATAAAATATGCTGGCAAGATATATTTACAAATACACATGACAAAATGTTGTGTGAGTAACAAGAATCTGATTTAAACTCATAGGCACACAAAGATCCTGAGTAACAGCAACCACATCATCTATAATCTCTGATGTCACAGGGGATTTGTGTATGACAAGCCTATTTACAATAAAAAATGTTATATGCAAGATTGGTAGAAGGTTTTCTATTCTCATTTCAGCCCACTGCTTATAGAATTTCATCTTTAAAATTCTCATCTGAAAAGTCTGGCTTCTTTTACTTCTGCCAGATTAGCAGGCAGTCTTTCTCCAGATATCACCTCCAGGGCTTCATTCACCAAATGAGTGGATATGACTCTCGCACATTTTAAATCTGCAGCCCCAATCTCTTTTTATAGCTCCGGTCATCCTCTCTCAGCATCTCTAGCTCATTCATCCCATTCAGCTCAACCACATATCCGTGTTACCTACTTTCCCATCATTCCTAATCCAATCTCTCCCCCAAGTCCTGGCCATGGGAATTTCTAAGTCTCCTTGGGCCCTGTCTGCCTCCTCCCATCTCCACTTACCAATCTAGAGGTCTGGGCTACCTTCATTTACTCTGCCATGGGGCTCCTTGGTGAAAGCATTTCACAGCAGACAAACCTTCTCAAGAAGGACCATAAAGCCTTTCCTGGTTTGGTGCTCACCTCCTGCCTAGCAAAACTTCGTACACCTGTGATGCCACATACTTAGGCCTGAGCCTCATCTCCATGTCTTAGTACTTCATTCTGGTGAACTCCCTTCTGCTGCTGGAATTTTACCCATGCTTTTGTCACTGCTAGAACTCTCTTGTCTTCCATTCTTTGCATAGTTACCTCCTCCTGACTGGATCAACTTTGCAAGCTGAGATTTTAGAGGGCATTTATTTAAAATTTCTGGGCCCCACAAGACTACTTTTACTTGCCTTTGTATGCTCAGTACATAGTCACCTGCATAGAAAAATGAGGAATGATTTACTCAGATCATAGCTAAAAGAGGACCATCCCTACTCTGGTTCTTTCTGGCCACAACCCACATCCTAGGGTGAAGAGATGGACTCATGATAAGTGCCAGGGAGCATAGAAAGGAATAACCATTATAACAATAGGAGAATAGAACATTATGTTATCTAATAGTTTCCAAAGGAAAGCTGCTATAAAAGTGTATTTACCAAGAAAAGAAAATAGAACATATTATATTTAACAATTCACTTATCTATAAAAATTTTTGATATTTAGGCACATGTTATGTGGGTCTCCATATGTATATAATCCTCTCCAGGCCTTATGAATGTTAGCACAGGGTTTCATATTTACCTAGGAATAAACTCATACTGTTGCTTGATACCAACATAATTCCCTATACCCCTTCTGAAATCTGAGTTCAAAACAGAAGTGACTCTTAAAGCAACAGAGCTACAAATATTTTTGACTAATTTTGTTAACAAATGTGATATGGGAGGAGAGACAGGAATGAACCATTAGACTCATTCAGTACTGAAAATGTTCCAAAATCACTATGTAACACCAAAGTACTAAAGATTATATTGTTCAGGTAGTGGGACAATGAATTTTCTTGGCTTTTCACATTTTGTTAGTGTTTTAGTTTTCTTTTATAAACGTGCTTACATTATTTTTTTTGAAAAATTTATTCTCTTATTCTTTTGAAAAATCATGTTACGAATCTGTTTCATTTACAAAATGTGAACACTTTACCAGTGCTTCTCAGCTTCTATGCTACCCCTCATATGACAGCAATGGTAGGAATTTTCTGCCCATGTATTTACTTCACCAGCAAGGCCCAAATTTTCTATTTCAGAATGCGGTAGAAAGGGACTGTGGGTTCAGTTACATGGTAACAAGCTTCACATGCACCTTTAGGAGAATGTGTTGTGCGGTTAGTGTACCCAGACTGTCCTGCAGTGGGGCAGCTGCTAGGTTTATTATCCTGATGCTCAATTTTCACTGAGGCCCCTTGGTTTCCTAAAGTTTCTAAATTGTGATCTGGATCTCCTTTCTAACAACCATGCTTCTACAATTAGTTTTGCATTTCTTTGCTTCAAAATGAGAAGTGTCTAGTTATTAAGTTAGGAGGAGCCTCATTGCCTATTTCTTCCAACCTTGATGCCTCTTGCACAGTGTGCGCCAGCATTCTAGATGGCTCTCCTGCCTCCCCACCCCCCAACTGCCATTCCCACTTTCACACTTCAGTGTTTTTCCTTTGTATCCCTTGCCCTGCTGCCCTGATGCCCTGTCTCTTTGCTTTGCCATCTCTCAGGGTATCAGACTCAATAGCACTTCCTAATCATCCTCCATTCAGAGGGATCACATCTCGCCTTTCATGATTCAGTACTTGCTATTGAGCTTATACATTGCCTGGCCTAAAAGTCAGGGATCATAACTTAATGATATCATCAATCCAACACTGCACCTAAAACTTAAGTAACTGTTGAACAACTTAATTAACTGTTGAACAAATAAATTAAGCACATCTTATTGGTCAGTCCCAACATTTATCCCCAAACCAATCAAGAATTCCGAGAGATCTGTGTCTTTTCCTGATCAACCCAACAGGCTGACTGATGACAATGACTGACAGGACTGAAGAGCATGACCAGAAGAAATGCAATCAGGGGAGGAGGTTAGATTCAATATAATCAACAAGGAGCTAATTTCCATAATGAAGAACAGAGGTAGGTGGATAACTATGGAAAGAAGGATGCCAATGGACACATGGGTGTTTATTTTACTGTTCTACTTAGGTTTGTATTTGAAATGCTTTGTGATGACAAGATTTGAAGAAAGTAAAAAGAGAAGAAGCAGCTGATTCACAGACCCTGAGGAGGTCTCAGGGAGAGGTTTTGGGAAGGACCCATAAATATGGGTCTCCTGCTCTTGCGCTACCCTCTTTTCTGGCAACATTCTTGGTTTCCAAGCACTCTAACCCTATTTATTTATATGGACTGCTGACACTCAGTAACACAACCCTGGGTTTGCTCCATGTCCTAGAACAGTCCCAGGTGAGCATGACAGCCTGTAAGAACTTGACTCTATTTCAACTAATCCAGGTGGCAAACCCCTTGTGGCATCCTCTGGGACAGAAAGTCCCTTTGATGTCTTTGTGTGTGACCACACAAAGCTGGGTCTCCCCTGTCTCTGAGAAGAATCTGCCTACAGGTCACAGGAGCCACCTTGGTAGAAATTTCTCCATTCTGAATGCCTCCTCATGACAGTGGAGGCCAGCACAGATTGTCCTCTGCCCAGAGCAGATGCATTCTAAATGACTTCTCAGAGTCTTCCTCCAGCCACTCTCCCATAGGTCTCTGCAATCAGATAATCAACATTCATTTCAGCCAAGATGCACAAAGCATGCTATTGATTCCATACTCAGGTTTTGCTGAAGCAATTCATAATACGCATGCCCATTAGATACAACCATTTTTGTGGATAGAGAAGCCAGAGATCTCTGAGGAAAGAACACACGGTTCTCTTCCTACTCTATGCAGCATGTATCTATCCTATCTGCAGACCACTGAAAGAATATTTGTAATGTAGATGAGGTCAGTCCTTTCGTCCAATGTTGACAGACAAGAGGAAGATTCCAGGGAGAAATGCCACAGCAGCAAATGAATATAAATGATGCTTTTATACCTTGTGCTTATAAAATGGCTTTTGTGCTAGAATCTCAAAGCTCTCCAGGAAGCAAGCTTTGACTGACACTTTCACTGAGGGTAAATGTGAATGGTCAGAGTTTCCTAAGTCATTTTTGATAGGAACAAATGTCCAGGACTTTTAAAATGCAATATACTTGGCTTCTGGGGAGTAAACAAAAGTGTACAGATGGATAATGACATCTGTGGATTCTGGCTCCATTTCTTAAAGAGAGACAAAATGTAAATAAATATGCAAAAAACTGTCACATGTAAATAACACTCATGGTTCATCCAGTGGTTACTAGATGGCTCAGCATTCACAAGCAATGGATTCTATTACTGAATATCTTGTGACTATATGACACAGAAAGTAAAAGACATCTCTTCAATGCCAAGGGGGAAGACAAGTATTATGGAAATGTTTAGGGAAAAAAAGATTCAGGCATTGGCTTTGAGACTTGAGGCTTTGCACTATGCGATGCTTTCCTTTTGCTTTCTCAGTTGAAAGCCTCTTTGTAGATAGGTAAACAATTCATATAGGTCTGCAAAGGCCACACCCTTAACTGGAAAGGCAGAGGGGATTCACAGTGTGTCTGACTGTGAGACTGATTGGAACTCATTGGAGAATTCTTCCCTTCTTGTCCTCAGCTTATGACACATGTGCAGTGTGAGCAGTGGTTTGGGGTGCAGTCATCAAAATGCCTACAGAGCAGATGTTAGTAACTTTGAACTGGTTTCTAGAACTCATTTAGGGTATTAATCAGCCTCAGAGGATAAAACTCAAAGACACTGAGAACACTGCTGTATGAAAGCAATATGTAACAGGGAACAGCCTACCCTAACATAACACGTATTCGGAAAGCCAATGCCAAGAGCTTGTAACAGAATCTGAGTTCATCAGGTATCTAAAACACAGAGTCCTTCAAATGCAAATTCTCTTCTTAAATGATGTTATTAAGTAGGGGCTGGGGATTTAGCTCAGCGGCATAAGCACCTGCCTCGCAAGCGCGGTCGTGAGTTCGATCCCCGGTATGGATAAAAAAAAAAGTGCTATTAAGCTACCAAACAACAATGAAATAATTATCAGGTAGTAGTGAATAAAATATCAACTGTGCAAAAGTGTCTTGTTCTTAAACCGCTAAGTTGTACACTCAAACTTGTACTCAAATTAAAGTGTAAACCAAAATGTAGCTTATTAACGAACTGTTCTTGACTGAAACAGCAGCTAGCATTTGGTTGTTGGTACCACAGTATGTGTAAAACAGTCTTTCTAAAAGCAGTAGTCTCTAAACTTCTGAAATCTCTCATTATTATTAATATCATTTCTGAGCATGACTTCTTAATATCTGCCTATTTATTTATACATGGCTTATTATTACTAGTACATTGACATAAAATTTAAAAATTTTTAACATAAACAATATTTAAAACACTTTTATTTATTGACTACAAATTATTTCCACTCCTGCCAATGTTTTCTTAAAACAATAGCAGAGTGGTTGAATAGATTTCTTTAATTTTTGAGAACCCAAATTGAAAACTTTGTTATATAATACTCTAGATCCTCCTCCTTCTGAGTGAGCTTTATTTTAAAGTTTAGTTTTAAGCCGGGTGTGGAGGTATACTTCTGCACTCAGGAAGCTGAGGCAGGAGGACTGTTGCAAATTTGAGACCAGCCTAGGCTACAAAATGAGCGTAAGGCCAGCCTAAACCACTTATCAAGACCCTGTCTCAAAAAGACAAAAATAAACAAACAAGCATAGTTTTAATGGCTGTCATCATTTAACAGATCTCACATAGTGGACTACTTGCAGGAATTACACAGTCCCAGGTTTTGTCAAATTAAAATGCTTATTTCTGCTGTAGCACATATCATGCCAAGGTTCTAACTGAAATGTAGTTGATTACATTTCCACCTTCTTTGAAGTCCATCAGTCATTCTTAAACAGTGTCAAAGAATAAGACTGAGAAATTTATTCAATTGTTTTACATGCCATGTGTTTACTTGTACGTGAGGAAGAAAGGGCAGTAAACTGTTGTCATGGAACAAAAATAAAAGCAGGATGTGTAACAGGAGATGGGGAAAGATCTATTGGCTGCCCTGGAAGAGTGGGTCTTGCAGGCATATTTTGGGAGTAAACAAGTAAATTGGCACCTATAGAGGAGAGTGGTCTGGGTGTTCTGAGTATAGTATCAAAGAATACAATTAAGTGTAGTGAGATTTTTTAGAAACTCTGGCAGTGCAGCTGGCATCCCTTCCCTTAGCATGCCACCCTAACCAAGCCAGGGTTGCACCACTGTCCTGCTATGAACTCCTCCGTATGTTTAAAACTCCAATTCTCCATTGAGAAGATTTCTCACAGAGGTGAGGAATTTCACTCTGTAAGTTTAGTATACAGACATGAGTTATTATATGTAATACATATATTTTGGGGCAACAAAAATCACAATGTAACAAAGGCATATTCTCAAAGATGTACCCTTCATAAGATCAGATTGTTTTCAGAATCAAATAATTTCTCCTTCATTGTTAAAACATCAATTTTGTCTGGAAAGGAACAGATTGTTTTTATGAAACTATCTTAAGTAGCATCCTAATGTCAACTGGTCATCACTAACAAGATAAGAAAATGTAAAAATACTATTTTTAAAAAGTAGCCCAAATTTAAACATAAGAACACTTTGTAATGCTTTGGAACTAAGGATGTGTGACCTCTGTGTGGTTCATGAGGTAATCAAGGTTACTCCTCATCTTGGTACAAAAATCCAAAAGGATGCTCCTAAAGGCCTTTTCTTGTCACCAGATTTAACCCTCTGAATGGTGTCTGATAGGCTATTCACACCACTTTTGCTTAGGCAAACTCTAACCAAAGTTCTCCTTTGAGGAACATTGGTTTTCCCTGTCTCACTGATGCACATTTGGCCATGATGTTCTGTATTTGATAAAAAAGAAAAGAAGAAAAAAAGTAGCAGTGATGCCTGTCACTTCTGACCCAAAGCTTTAGAGTAGGGTTTACAGTGCCCATTGCCACTACTGTCATAGTGTTCCAGCTCAAGGCCACTTCATCAGCTACGGTCCCTGTGTTGTAGTCAGCTTCCCATTACTGTGACAAAATACCTGAAGAAACGTTTATTTTGGCTCAGAGATTTCAGTATATGGTTGGCTGGCTCCACTGTTGCTGGGCTATTGGTGTAAGGCATGGCAGAGGTCAAACTACTCACCTCTTGGTAGTTAGGAAGCAGAGGTGAGAGGGCACAGAACTAGAGAGAAAAAGGTCAGGACAAGGTTTATAGTCCCCAGTTATATTTTTATGACCTATTCCCTTAAAATTGGCCCTGTCTCCTAAATTTCCATCATCTCCCAATAAAACCATCAACTTATGAATCCATCAGTGGATTAACCCATTGAGATTAGAGTCTTCATAATCAAATCAGCTTCTAAAAGGCCCTCAACTGGCAACCAATCCCTCAGTGCATGACTTCTGGAGGACATTTTACATCCACACCGTAGTAGTCCTGAAAAACAGCATGAACCAGTGTGTTTCAAATGTGGCATGGTACATACGTATGCTAAACATTTGGAACATTCTCACCTTCAATTTTTTTTACTGTTGAACTGAAATTCAAATTTAACTTATTGTCTAAATTTTATTTGGCAGCCTGCCTTGTAAGCCAGTGACATTTGGGGATCCCCATTTCTTTTAATTAAATATCCAGTGGGAAGGGCATGGGTGAATTCATATAGTAGGTGTCATGGGAGCTCATCTTTGCCCTTATTTTAAAAAGATATAGTTCTTCCTGTATCCAGTGGACTGTCTTGGAGACCACTGTCCTAAGGTCAAGGTCCTCAGAAATGAATGACCTCATCAAAAATGCAGAGTCCTTTGTAGTATTCCAGAGGTACTGATTTAGAATCTGGTGACAACTGAAAGGCCTATTCTCTTAACAGATGATTATGAAACAAATTAAAAATCCATTGGCCTATGTCTGCAATTTGTTTCCTGAAAGCTACCTAAATAGGAGACCTGAACACTAGTATTGGCTTTGCTATTAATTAGCTTTGTACGTAGTTCAATAAGTCTACTGTTTTCTCCTTTATGGACTACATCATTTTCTTCTCAAGAGGGAGACTGCTTCTGGTCACCTCAAATCCTTCTTCCAGCTCTGAGTCCAGGGTCAGGAGTTATAAACTCAACAATCTTGCAAGGTCCAGCAAGTAAATGAATAAGGCTAGTTGGATATAAAACTCTAGGTCCTGAACGGGACCATGGTAAACCAAAAAACACATGCCCCAAATGTGCCCAGGGCATAGAAGGTTTTGGAGTTTGGCCTTCTCCACCAGAAGAACAGAAAATGTACTACACACTCCTATTTTTGGCAATATCCCTAACGTACATCTGCTTTTCACATTGTTGTCTTACCGTGAAAGATTTTTAAAAGGACTTCTAACTTTGCTTTGGAAAATACTGAGCACACAAATAATGACATGAATTAACAATTGACTGGGAATTTTCAGAAATCATCCTGCATGCTGAGAGGAATTCCGCAAACTGAGAAAGTCTGACCTACAAATTGTTTTAGAAAGAAACAAACTGTACATCAATACTAACTTTAATAATTAATGACATTGACACTACAATATTTTGGAGTTACTTCATTACACATTGTTAGCTTTGATTTTGCAAATAAAAATATTTTGGAGTCAACAACATTGTTTTACGCCTCAAACATTTTGATAAGCGTTTTAAAAGCCTGTCAGCACTAGTCATTTTTCCTACATTGCCTAAGGGCTAAAACAGTTCTGTCGGCTGGAGCTGAGCCTGATGCTGGTGAAATAGAGATGATCAGACAGAACGCTCACCTTTGAGGAGCTCATAGACAGTGAGGGAGGCAAAGACAAACAGGTAATTTTTCTATAATGTGACAAGTGCTGGGATAAAGCCATACAAGTGATGGGAACAAAGGAAAGGACCCAGAGGGATAAGCAGGGAAAGATGTCAAGAGAGACTTGTTAGAGATGACACCTGAGATGAATCTTGCAGACAGGCGGGAGTGAGTCGAGTAAGAAAGGCAGGGTATTCTAGGCAGAGATGTACCAGCTAATGTGGAGCTGTGATCAGGTTGTTGGAGAAGCACATTAGAGGCAGCTCATTCATTTATTCAACAAGTGTGTTAAGCAACGAGGGCATCAGGCACTGAGGAGGCAGGTAAACATGTGAGAACTCTGAGCATAAGAGACAGGATCACTGTCCAGGGGAGAGCAGGCTGGGAATGATGAAGTCTATCATCCCCACTAGGGGGCTGAAAACTAGGGCCAGGGACAGGCATTCAATGGAACAATGCAAAAAGGAACACAGCTAGGCATGGTGACACACACCCATAATTCCAACACTCTGGAGGCTGAGGCAGGAGGATCATTGCAAGTTCAAGGCTAGATTGGGATGCATAGTGAGGTGGAGGTCAGCAGACTATATAGCGAGACCCTGTCTCAAAAAGAACAGACGAACAAAACCAGAACAGAAATTCATGTTTTAAAATTTAAAATTGTGGAAGGAATGATCTATGTTTTCCCACATTTCCGTCATTTATATTAAAAACAATATATTTTTTTAAAAAAACAGCATGTAAAAGCAATTGGATATGAAAAAAATCAAAAAGCCCTTAGGGCTGAAGGAATGTATGAACTCTGTGTAAGCCCAGTTTCTCCAGAACTCAGGGGTCAGTCTAGGTCCTGTGTGACTGCTGGCGACCAGACCCTACCAGGTTCCCTCCACAAGTAGCTTCTGGGGGCCGGGGTACCAGGCTGCTGCCTTTGGTTCTGGGATCCTCTAGCAGCCACGGCCCTCTTCCTGGTTCTGGTTCACTCTTCCTTGCCATTTTACCAGTTGTTCTCTACAGAGGTCCCTTTCCCATCCTCATCACAGGTCAGGGAGGTTTATATTTGTAATCCCATGGAGAAGTCATTGTAAATCTATTGCGCTAATTCCAATCTACCACTTTTAGTGTCATCCAAGGTGAGAATAAAGACATTAACACATACATAGTTACCGGGAGCAAAGGGGGTCCTAAATCCAGCCAAGACAGTGGTTCACTGGAACAAAGACCATGACCCAGGATCCCACCTGGATTTTATTAATTCTCCATGAGTGGAATGGTTCAGGGATGAGTGACAGTGAGGGTGGAAGAAACACATGACTACTGTGAGCTGGGTTATGTAGGAGGCCTGAGACAAATGCAGAAAAAGAGTAATCTGCGTAACATAGCTGAGGCAGCATTTAATATTTTGGGGTCGAGCGAAGTCTTTTTTGCTCTGGGAAATCATAGCCTCTTTCTCGAGGCTCCCAGCCTACAACATGGAGCACAGTTCTCCATCTAGCCCGGCTCAACCATATTTTTCTGGCAGCTACTGGGTGGGGGGAACAGCAACTGTCAAGGACGACACATCAGTACCTCAGCTCGCACAGTTTACACTGTTTAAAGCCAACTGAAGAGACAAAGAAATAGCCTAGCCAGCTCTGTACATATCAACACATAGGGATATGGCCAAGTACATCCAAAAATATAGGTGTTCTTCTTTCAAGGGGAGTTCTCTGGGTGGTTCTCCACAGTTCCCAACACATGTGCTCACTAAACATCATCAGCAAGCATCCAGGGACTCACTTCTCAAGAGGCATCCTCAAAGAAATCCCTTCTTGCAGAGATAGGTAGATCATACAATGAGACAAACTTTAAAGATTATGTATGTGCAAAAGCTGAATAAAACTATACTTAATTTTAAAAATCAGAAAGAAAAAATAGGAAAATAAGGAAAACTAAAAAGCAAATGTTTATTCACTTCATCTTACTGTTAGAGGCAGCTGAGCTAGTTAGAAATATTATAGGCAGTCAGACAGGGCTAGGCCCTCAGAGAAGCCAGCACAGAGGACCACATGTCTGATGACCTTGGAGGGGACACACACCTCTTGCTGTGGGCCAGATCTCAAAAAGAAAGCAAAACAAATGCAACCACACCCTAAGTATAAACTTTAGGGATTAGGTATGGATCACCTTGAGAAGCCAGGAGCCACCTTCTCACCCCTCTACAGGAAGAGCGACTGATCCTTAAGAATGCTGGCTTGCTACATGATTTGCTTCCCCTTTGGACAATTCTACCTGAACAATTAATCTGATTGGTTCATCACAGTTCTATCCCACCTTATGCCCAGCTGCCTTGTGAGTTCCTAGTTTTCCCCACTTTAGAGCGGCCTCATGGTTATACTCTAGAAAAATCCCTAGAAAATGTAGACTCTTTGGCAATCCACTCGGGACTCCCGTCTCTAACAACTTTTTTTCCCTCAAATATTTCTGCTCTTAAAAAAAATACTTCTGCTCTTAGCCTCCGTTGTTCCTAAAATTCATTTTTCTATTTTAAAGAACACCAACTCATACTGGACATATAGTAGGTTGGGAATTTTATTCCCCTATATCATTATTACTCAGAGATTGCTTTTTGTTGACAAAAAAAAAGAGACACGCTCCTAAGATCAGGATCACAGTGTACATTAGCTTTGAAAATAAAAATTCATTTATTAACATAATATGATGAAAATGTAAATTCTTTTGAATATTGCAAAATAAGTTAATGGTTGCATAGTTTATCATGAAACAAAAATAAGTTTTAACCATCCTCCTTATTGTTTTAAAATTGTGTTCAATTTTTTACTAAGCCAATAACATATAACTTGAAAAAATCAAAAAGAATGGGATGCACAGTATAAACATAAAAACCAAAAACAGTACTTGTTAAAATATCTACAGAATACACTATTATCAAACTCAATGTTGAATTTAATCCATAAAATTTTTTGGTACATTTGAAAAAAAGTGTGTAAATTGGGCTTGCTGATGACACAAAGATTTATAAAGATGCCTACCACTGGCTGTTGGAAACCACAAATTCACAAGGGCTAATTTTGTACACTTCCCTCAGGGATAAATGGAGGATTGGGATTAATGATTATCACCCTTTTAAGATTTCCCCTTAACGCTTTAGGTAAGGGCCATCCTCTCCCACACCCACTAAGAGTAAACTAAAACCATTAAGATTAAAAAACACTCCAGGGCAAGATCCTTCTTAGCATAAAATCATCCCAAATTACCAGTTGCCCACTGAGCCATAGACCTCTGAATTTTCCACTATTCCCTCCTGACATTGCTTGGGGTGTCTTGGTCCTTCTATCCCCTCTTCATGTATTATTAAATTTGTCTGCTTGTTATTTCATCCTTTCACCCATACAGGAAGTTGGGGGTTGAGAGTTGGCGAGTTATCAGAGCCAAATACAGATTACAAACTAAGATAGCCCTATAACTGCCAAGGCAAAATTAACTTTTTAAAATCTTTGATTTTCTTTTGTCTTTTTTGTCTTGAGACAAGGTCTCACTATGCGGTTCAGGCTGGCCTTGGGCTCACTTAGTAGCCCAGGCTGGTCTCGAACTTTCACATGATTCTCCTGCCTCAGTCTCCCAAGCACTGGGATTTCAGGAGTGCGCCACCACGCCCGGATAAAATTTTTAATTTCTTAACGAAATCTTTATCACATACTATAAATTCCATGAGGGCCGGGCGTGGTGGCTCATGCCCTTAATCCCAGCACTTGGGAGGCTGAGGCAGGAGGATCGTTGGGAGTTTGAGACCAGCCTGGGCTACAAAGTGAGCTCAAGGCCAGCCTGAACTGCATAGTGAGACCCTGTCTCAAAAAGCCAAAAAAAAAAAAAAAAAAAAAAAAAAAATCATGAGGAATACAGCTGCGTTCAGTGGTTTCAGTTGCTACTAGGTTTAGTCAGATCATAGTAAAGAGCTGGAGAGGCTCCGCACCCTGGCTCTTTCTGTCCCCTCGCTAGTCAAAGCACTGACAGCATCTCCTGGGAGCCCTCGAGAACTAAAGACGCTCAGATCTACCTCACCAGACGTACTGGACCAGAATGTGTGCGCTGACAAGATCACTAGCTGTTTCCCACGCTCGTAGAGATCCGAGAAGCCCCTGCACCGCCGGGATGCCTCGGGCAAGGTCGCTTAGTCGCGGGCAGACGCTCCAGGAGCACCGAAGCGGCAAACCCTCCGCGGAGGTGCTGCCTCCTCGGACAGGCCACACGCTTTAACCGCGAGGGACCCGCTGTGCGCACCCAATTCCAACACTCAAGCATTGTGATGCAAAGAGACTTTGCCCAGGCAGGGCAGCCTGTCGGGCTGTGCTTCCTGCCTTTCTGGGCCTCGCTGCGCCCGTGCGTCAAAGTGGACACTGACGACTAGGGAAGGAGTGCTGACGTCACTAATAGAACGGGGATGACTGATGACGTTGCAAGCATGCCTTCTCCCACGCAAAGAGCAGCTCCCAGACTTTGAATTTCTCTCAGACTCCGGTCTCCTCAACTGTCGACAAAGACAGACAGCGTTTAAAGAAAGCAGCCTTGAATACAGATATCGCGAGAAAGTCTACCCAAGTAGCTCTGAAGAGCGCAGGCGCACTGCAGCTCCCGCCCCCCCTTGCCTTGTGAAGGAGGCACCCACCTCAGGAGGCGGGGCCGGGCCTTAGAACACTGCTCGCGAGATTTGATCGCGTCAGCGGGACGTCCTTTCAAGGGCCGGAAGTCACCACAGCGTCTTAGGCGCTTGTTCTCCCGGCTTGTAGCATCTCCGAACTCGGGATCCTGTCGCGGCTTTTTGGCTCGCGCTTCACCAACCCTGAGCCGTAGTAATGGGGGACTCCAAGGAGGCCGGAGCCGAGGCCTCGCCGATGGGGTCTGCTGCTCGAGGAGGGCTGAGCCTCCTGTCTCAGGGAGAGCTGGAGGAACCTTCTGCACAGGTAAGTCTTCCCTAGGGTCGAACCTGCCCAGACTCCGAGATTCGCAGGCTCGAGCTTTGGGATCGGCTGGCACGTACCGCGGGGAAGGAGTGTCACGGTTCCCGGAGTTTCTGGCACTTTCTCCACGCCTCTCTGACACCTCCAAAACGGAGTGGAAGCCCGTGTGTCTCTTTAGCTATGCAAGGACTTGCTTGCAAGTCATTTGTATCCAGATCAATCCTGGCTTCCCACTCGGTGGGACCCAGTGGTGAATTAGACTCCGTCTCTGCTTTCAAGCCGCATACGTGTAATATGTAGTTCCAAAATGTGGCATAGTCGTACGAAGCCGGGGTAGGGGGTCGACGAAGAATGCCAAGGAAAGACTCAAGGGGTTAGAAAGTCTGAGCTAACTCTTGAAGTTCCAAAGTGTTGCCAGACCCAAAGGGACCGCGATAAAGGAGGTTAGGATAGTAAACCTAGACACACCGAGCCTGTTTGCAGGTGTGTAGTAAAGGCTGTGAGGGGTCCCCAGGGCATTGCTGTCAAGTTGAGAGGATCGGAGTATGTGTCACTTAATGTCAAAGCAATTGCTGAATGTTTGCGTAAAAACAGAAAAGATCAGCGGAGACTACTTTGTAAGTGATGTATGTTAGTGAAATTAAAACATTTCTTTAGTACTGTAGCACACTTTTATTAAATTTTGCGTTTAATTAACATGACACTTGAGTCTTGGTTTCCGCTTCTACACTTAATATAAATAAATTTTAAAAGGCAGATTGGCTAGCTGTTTCCTCGCTGAGACACAACCATTCTAACTGCTCGACTCGCCCATCTTTGAAGTCATGTGAAAAAGGGTTAAGTAAACGCAATAAGTTATGTTAGAATTAAGTGTTGTCAGTAACATGCAGCATTCGTTCTTTGTGAAGCCTGATGTGAGTTCTTTTTCTGTTTATAAAGATGAAGTTTTCATTCCTAGTAATGTTCATTAAGGTTGCATTCAATATGTTAATTAGGGATCAGCTTTATTTCTTGGCGGCAATGAAGTGAAGAGCCGAGCGGTGGTGAAATACTCTTCTGCCCCTCCTCGCACAGCATTTGCACAACTTGAAGAGAAAACAGACTTGAAACTCCCACCTGCCAACTGGTTGCGAGAAAGTGCCAAGCTCGGGCCTGCAGGAACTACCATTCTTGGAAATAGTAAGAAAAGCAAACCATTTTCAAGGTAAATATTATAAGCGCCATTTTTACCAACCTCTCCATTCCCGTTGAAAACTCTTAATACTTGATGTTTAATTTGTGATGTACACTAACTTCTTAATTTTTAGAAGGAGATGACATTTGATTTTAAGAATCCTTTTTTCTCCAGAGAATAGGATATGTTAGCGTGTGGAGACACATTGCATGCACACTTCTTTGAAGTCTACATCCTATTGATAAACTGCTAATCCTTTTATTTTAACCAGTTTGTGTACCCTTTGAATTTGTGGAAACAAAGAACCAGGATGGTTCATGAGGATCTGTTGAATGGATCTGTTTTTCTTTAATTGATGGTAAACTCTCTAGTTTGAAAAAGCCTGATGTAAAAATGCAGCATGTTAGGGTCAGGGATTTAGCTCAGCAACATAAGCGCCTGCCTTGCAAGCCCTGGGGTCATGTGTTCAAACCCCGGTACCAAAAGCAAACAAAAAAATCCAGCATGTTGGGTGACCTACACTGTTGACTTCTGCTGGTGGTATTTAAAGTTGAGAGAGTGGGCTGGCATCTTGCAGAGAAAAATGTATAAATACCCATAGTCTTACAGGCCATTTAATATGTAGGGTTCTTATTATTTCTTCGTGGTGACTCATCCTGAACTTTACATATAACTTACATGTAAAGTTCGAGCAAAACACACATAAGCACACTAATTCCTTATGAACTAGAATTTGAAGATTATCCTAATGGCCTCAGAAGGTAAAAATTATATATGCAAATTGTTTATTTGTAGCTTTATTTATACTATCATAAAGTTGGAAATAACCCAAGCATTTTCTGTTAGAAGAATGGCTTGTTAAATTATATTGATTTTTTTGTTTGTTTGGTTGGTTGGTTGTTATTTTTTTGTCTTTTTGAGACAGGGTTTCACTGTGTAGTTCAGGCTGGCCTTGAACTCATTTTATAGCCCAGGCTGGCCTGGAACTCAGTAATCTTCCTGCCTCAGGGATTACAGGCGTGTACCACCATGCCCAGCCAATTATATTAAGTTTTGTGGGATGATTTAAATAATTGCATTAACTGTGTACAAACACTGCTAGGTACTTCATGTTTATCTCATTTAGTGCTTATAACAACCTTTTGAGATAAGCACTGTTAGGTGCTTTGCCCATGAGAAAGCTGAAGGTAAGAAAGATTAAATGAGTTATTTAGAAGCACATGATAAAGTATAAGAGCATGCTTTGAAATTAGGTGTCCTAGTTAAGTATCCTGACTGCCACTTATTAACAAGAAAATGGTAATCACTACTTTTCAGGTACATAGGCTATCAGTGTGCCTCATGGCATTAGTTGGGTACTCACTTTTTGCCTGATTTGTTGACAGGTGCATTTATATACTTTAAAAGAGAGGTGTCTTAGTATTACTAGAAGTAGAGTCCCCAAAACTAAAATCATGATAAATGTTTTTCTATTTGTCTTCTTAGGTAAAAGGAATAAAATGTTGAAATCTGGAGAGTTTTTTGATTTTGTGATTAAAGAAAAAACCTGTGAAGTATTTTTAAGTATTTTCTACTAATTGTTTCTAATTATTACTATTTTATCAAATCTAAAGTACTATCAATTTTGAAATATACCATTATGTACACTGAGAAGGAAGCATTAGCTAAATATAATGGTAATGTACATCTTGAGTTGAGAACTGTTAGAATGTAGAAAATGTATATCCTAGGTGCAATGAGATTTTGTATTGTGTTCAACTTTTAATCTGTGACTTTTTTCCTTCTATAGCTTTGGCATGGCATATGACTTTATTGATTCTGTGGGAAATGATGTGGATGTTGTCTCTGATTCTGAAGTAAGTGTTGCTTGTCGTTTAATGTAACTTGTGGAGTGCTTTATATTATGTTCTGTTTTTGTAGTCTTGAGAAATTAATGACAAAATAAGATATAGCTGATCAGTGAATATCTCTTTTGTTTCTAAAATTCTGCCTTTTGCCACTTGTTTCTCAACAATCCAAAAACGGTGGTAATGGTAATACTAAGATTATTTGTATTTTAATGTTATAGGAACTGATGTTAATGTTCAATATTATTCTACTTCTGTTACCAGTTGAAAATTATAAAAAATATTTCTGGTAGAGTCCAGTGTTCCTTAATAGGTTGCTTTTTTAAATGATATAGTTAAAACTTCCATCAGTGTAGTAATGTGATTTGCACATACTTAAACCTGGAGAAAGCCCAATTGTGGGCTTGAGTTGTAGTTCAGTTGGTTGTTTACTTAGCATGCATGAAATACTGGGTTTGATCCCCAGCATTTGGGAAAAATGGGTTTGAGAAGATACTCTATAATGTAAAAATAAGTGTTTGTCTGTAATTTACATTAAAATGTTAGTATGACTTAACATATAGATGATTCTGGTTTTAAGGTCTCTCTTCCATGTAGTTGTAGATAGGTAGCTCTATGTAAAGTACAGTTTGTATAACCTTAAGAAAATGGTTGATTTGTGCTTTACAATGAATAATTTACTCTTTTTTAAGAACATAAAAAAGCTCCTGAAGATTCCCTACAGCAAGTCCCACGTAAGCATGGCAGTACATCGCATAGGAAGGACCCTCTTACTAGATGAACTAGATATTCAAGAACTCTTCATGAGATCCTCTCAGGTAATACATTTTGTGAAAAACATCTAGAAACTCATTATTCTAACAATGTAAGAGCACTAGAAATGTGATTATGTTTCAAAAAGGCCAAAGTGGAAATGTAGTGGTTGAATTCTTGAGCTATTAAGAAATGAAAAGTTTCACTGAAGATAAAAAAAAATTTTAATGTTAAAGGGGGGAAGAAAAATATTTCATTGATTCTAACAGTAGGAGTCTTTCTTATAAGGAAAAAGGATGGAGAAAATTGTGAAAAATTTGTGAAATTGAAGGACTATTTTAATTTTTAAAAGAACATTCTTTGATATCTATTATAGAGATTCATTTGAGACATGGCTACAAGGAAATGTGAAAAATATTAATGAGCTGTTTTCTTGAAGCCTAGCTTTTCAGATTATTATTATTAAAAGCCTAGCTTTTCAGTATTTTCTGATAATGAACTCTTATTTTTCCCTCATGTCTTGAGGAAGGATGGTTTTGTAAAATACAGTGATAGTGCTCCATTTTCTTAAGGCTCACTCTCCATTTCTATATTTACCTTTCATGTACTGGTAAGTAGTTGATGGTTTTGCCAGTCCATAGGCTATCTTTAAAGACTATTCCTTTAATGCTTTGATAAAAGAAAAAAGTTACAGTGATTTAAATTGACATTTAAAATAAATGTTTCTTTCCCAAAAGATCATAGTTCGGTTTAATCTATGTGTATGCACTTACCCTGTTTATAGGTTTTTCAGATAGGACAATGAATAAATCAGCCCGTGTTCATTAGCAGCTGACATGATTGGTGTTAAAGTAATCTGCGCTGATAATTTCAATAAAATATGCAAAGTAG